GATGTATGGACCTCAACTCCCCGAATTCTAGGAGTTGAAGACCACACATCTTAAAGTTGTCAAGGTTGAGAAACCGTGATGCAGAGGACTGCTATTTCAAGGCACAGTAATTTTTTAAAGTAAGTTTCTCTTTGTGAGCCTTGGCCTCTGCAAGGTTTGATTTTGCAGAGAATGGCTGTCTGCTTCCAAAAAGGCGTGGTTCCAGATTTAGTCAAATCTAAGCCCTAAATTATTTAAATCCATATGGTTTAAATAAGCTATGGCTGACTTTAGGCACAGAGACTTAAATGGTAACTCTTAAAATACGACCACTGCTGGAAACAGCCTGTTGTAATGTTGTTGGAGGATGACTTGGATCCAAAGTAGTCTGCTTTAAAAGTTGGTTAGGATAATGGTAAATATTCCTTTATAAGCAGTGCGGAGTGAGAAAGTCATCATGGTTTGGGTGGCCCTTCAGTGGTCCCTGCTAAGCACCATGTATTTTACATACCTGCATGTGCAGAAATGCAGCCGTGTATGTTTGGGCAGACTGAGAACAAGACAAGATGCATGCTATATTTATGAGATACGTTAAGCCAGAAAAAAGGAGGAAGAGGCAACCTGGTTAGTTAATTCCACGTTATACAACCTGGTTAGCTGAGTCCACATTGCACACAGAATTTTAACGAAAGGTTGAACATGTCAACTAGACCCCAATAGAAACTGGAGTACAATGTGAAGCATTAAAATGACAAGGCACATATGCTCAATGCTTTAGCTTGGATGGGATGTGAAACAGGGCTAGATAGCTAAGTTTGAGCTCAGGAAGTCAAAACGATTGCTAAGTACTAAGACTTCAACCCAGTGTTTGGAATGACCACTAGGTGGCAGCAAGGAAATGAAGAAAACCCCTCTATTGAAGTGGTTTCTGCTGCCCCAATATGGCAAACTTGCTAGATATTGTTTGACTCCTTGTAAAAACCCACTGGGGAGGATGTTCCAGACAGCCCATGGAGAAAATTGGAAGTAGGAGCAGAAAATTTGGGCCAGGAAGAATGGAATCGTCCAAATGGGAGAATACAATTTGGTGCATTTGCAGAAATTTAATACGACTCCATTTGGAACCTGGAATGAAAGAGGTAAGGTTGCCAATTTTTCAACTGACTATGGTAATTATCTTTGATGGACTGTTTTATTTACAGTACATTTCAGAGGATTATACTAGTTTATCTGCAAACTTTGAACCGTTTTACAGGCTTTTTTCCTGACAGACACAAAAGAAGCAGCAGGAATTCCCACTGGTCAACTGGCAATCCCAATAGGACGTTAGATAGGTTGGTTGATACCTATATTGATTATATAGGTTACCATTATATTGATATCAATATAATCTTAAATAAAGATACAGTTATGTCAGTCCAAACCATAACAGGGCATGTGTTGGAGAAACTGCTTAGGGTTAGCAACGTTTTTGGACGCTGATGTTCTCTGAAGTCAGTTTTGAAGTATATGTCCTTTCAATTACATTTCTATACATTTTTTAAATCAGCCAGTAAGTTCTATGTAATCTAGGGAGTCTTAGCTATAAGTAGAAACCCAAGGATACCAATTACAAGGCATAAACCAGTGAAGTCTTATGGATTATTATTTAGAAATTAAGTACTTTCATGTTTAGTAGAACGTCTAAGAAATACATCCCCCATTGAAAACCTGCACCCAGTTCACAAATACATACTTCCTTCAGTGCAAGCCAGGTGTTACTGCTCTTTGAAATAACTAAGACTTTAATTTGACTCACCGGTGCAGATGCTTTACCTCCTTTAGTCTCAGGCGAAGGGTTATCTGCTTGTTCATTGGCCATGGCCAGGCTCATCAAGAGAATGGCACCAATAAGCAAACTGGCCTTCATGGTTAAGCTCTCTACAGCTCTTGAGGTTGGTGCCTCTAGGAAAAGCAACTTCTTTCTTAGAAGAGATGCAGAGGTTTTTCTGCTAAGGTTGGCAAAAGCAGAAGGAACTCACACATCACAATCAACCTCTTCTGATTTGCTTTTGTAGATGGAGGGGGCGATGATGGGTGGGGACTGCACTGGCTGGGCCTCTGACACCTCCAGTGTTTATCGACTTGCCTAGAAGAATGTAGCTGCAACAGGTGTGTTTGCTGAAGCACATCCAAGGGACAGCAACCCTTTAATGAGCCACAGGACAGATACACGTCTTGTAAATCTCACTGCCCTGAAAGGAGGGATATGCATGCATGACAATTGTCAATTACTCAAGTAGACCCCTTTCTCTGAAACATGACCTTCTCCTCCTCCTCTTCCTCTTTTCTTCCAGATGAATATCACAGTCTAATGAACTAGGGGTTGACTCCAGTGATTTCGGCTGTACGTTATTCCAATCATGTTTTATAAAATTAGTGGTGTCCAGTTTGGCAAGTTTATTTTATTTATTTATTTAAAACATTTATATAGCTGCCCATCTTATATCAAACTCTGGGCAGCTCCCATTTTGGTGGTATTGCACCAAAACTCCAATTCCAATCGATGTGGCAATTGATTTTTTTTCCTCCATAATCTTTCTACCTCAGTGTGTAAATCTTGGTATTTTGTTTCTCTCTGGTTGTGTTTCATCCATTTGACTATCTCTAGATATCACCAGATCAGTGAACTACACTTTGATTATAATGTTCTCTTCTAAATGCTGATTTGGCTCTAATTTTTTTCTCTGAAAGTCAAGTTGGATTTTATTTGCCTGAGCTGCTGTGTTTTACGTACTCGGCCATTGGTGACAGTATGAATGCTGCCACAGGGCTTGTCCTATCATCAGGCAGTCTGACGCAGCCACCTGAAGCAGCAGAAGTTGCAGGACAGCAGCTGTGATGCCTGGCTGTTTCTCTGTTTGGAGGACAGAGATGCATGTGATACATGGACTGCTTTCATCCCCTGAACTGGCCTGTTGACCTCAAATGTGGTAGAAGCTGTCAAATGACAAACCAGTTAGCTTTTGTAGGTAGCCTGAGGGAAAGGACACCATCTTGCTCTTGGCTTTAGGATGCATAGTATCTAGGGAGGATCCTGAATGCTATGAGTTTGCATGTTTGTAAGATAAAGCACTCTACGTTGATTGCCTTGGGCAACATAAGTGCTGCTTGAGTATTATATTAAAAATGTGAGTCACATATACCAAAGTAGCATTCTACTCTGTATATAGATTCAAGAAGTGGGAACTGAGTACGTGCATGTCAAAAAGGCAAAGCAAAACCATTTCTCCCCATTCTCTATTGAGCATATTTACCAGGAAGGACATTCTACCAATGTTTGGCTCTTAAAGGAAAGTCCTCTGCCTTCTTGATGAAACTAATATTTGAAACAGGGCATCAGGTACTAGTTTGATAATTTCAAGATGTTTTTATTGAAAATTATGTTTTAAGATACATCTGATTGGAAACACTAAATATATGCATTTATGCTTAGATGCATATACTAAATATTTATGTTTTAAATACTTATCCCAGTGAGGTTGTTAATGGATTTTCACTTGTTCCCAGCACTTTATGATTTTGCTATATGTTTTTGTATATTGTCAGGTTAATTAAACTAATCACCTCCATGGACACAGAGTTAAATTATCTGGGTGGGGGATAGGTTTTATGGAAACCCCCTATTTGTTTGCAAAAATGAATCTGCTGGTTGGTGTGCATTCTTCAAAAATGATTCAGAAAAGTTGCTTCAGAATGCAAGGGAGGGTGAATGCAGTACCTCTTAAAGCAGCTGCTTCTTTTTTCAAGCTTCCTCTTGAAAAAAAGACACAGCTGCTTTGATGTGTAGACTCATTAATAGCTACAAATGCTTTAAAGCTGTGCTGGGCTTCTGTGGGTTCCGGAGGAACTAATCCGAACTGTTTTCAAAGCATGTGCCACTCTGCCGATATTGATTGCTGATTGGGAGGGGCCCATAAGCCTGAAAAAAAGTTAGAGATGCTTTAATGAACAGCAGAAAGATTCTGTGCTATTTTCAGAGCCTTTTAGTACCAAGAGCTGAGAAATGCCAACAGGAAGATTGCATTCATGTAATTTGCTTGGAGGTTTCCCCAAGACACTTGATTTTTCACTGTGGCAATGCTAGGCTGGATGGGGCTTGTTTGATCTAGCAGAATCTTCTCATTTTCATCTTTTTTGACTACACAATTATTGCATACAGAAATGCCAAAATATTGCCCTAACAAAGTGAATCCACTTTCATCTATCTTTGTGCTATTCAAAACTCAGTGTGTCCAGAGCAGCAGCCTAAATCTTCCTTGAAAGAAAGCCCCTTGTTCACAGCATTGCAGGGTAAACAATACATGGGTTTGCACAATGTCAGTCTAAGGAAGAGGGGAGAAAGATTTTTCCCCCAGGCTGTCCTGTAAATCTCTCCCCACTCCATTACGCTCTGGCTAGTTAAGCCACACAAGCTTAACAACCCAACACTACACTATTACAAACCATACTGCTCAGATTTATATAAAGCAGAATTAAACTATGTTTATGGCATGGTACAGTGGGTGAATATACACCAAGCAATTGGCTTTTAGGGTCCTCATCAGGGATAGGCAGCTTGGTGCTTTCTAGATGTTTGGCACTGCATGGGGTGAGGTGACTGAGACTTATGGGAATTGGAGTCCACCGAATACCTTGCATAGCCAAGAAAACAAACCAATGGATCATCGAACAAATCAGCCCAGAGTTCTCACTTGAGGCACAAATGGCCAGGCTCAAATTATTCTCCTTCAGATGCATTATGCAAAGACCCAACTCTCTGGAAAAGGCTCCAATGCTGGGAAAGGTGGAAGGAAAGATAAGATGATGACTAGCAGCAAGGTGGATGGATTCAGTTACAGCAGTGATGGGTGCACTGTTGGGAGACTTGAAGGACCAGGTTAGAACAGATTGTTATGAAAAAGCTGGTCCATCCATCCATCCATCCATCCATCCATCCATCCATCCATCCATCATCTCTCTCTCAACTCTCTCATCTACCTATGACACATAATCCAAAGACCCAACCCTTTGGAGAAGTCTATAATGCTGGGAAAGGTGGAAAGAAACAGAAGAAGAGGACGACCAACAGCAAGGTGGAGGGACTCAATGGAGGCACCTTTGGAAGACCTGAAGGACCCCCTTGGCGACAGATCTTCTTGGAGTAAATCTACCCTTGCGGTTGCCAAGAGTCAGCAATGACTTGATGGCACATAATCTATGTATCTATCATCTATCTGGAAGGGGACAGATCGCGTTCGAGGCTTGACTGATGCCTCTCTCTCCTCTGAGGACAATGCAAAATAACGACGGAGCTGCAAGCGACGCGAGAGACGAGGACTCCATTCGAGCAACTCTGTCCGGGCTCTGCCAGAAAAAAAAAAAAGTCCAACTGAAGAGGCTGACCGGGCGTGGAATGTTGGGAAATGTAGTCTCGGGAGCGCGGACTAGGGCGGTAGCCTAGGCAACCGCCGGTAAACAAGATGGCGGCGCCTGCCTGGAGCGTCCGAAGCGGCCGGTGAGTCCAGTCTGGGAGCGGGGGGCCCTCCTAGTTTCTTGCCTGTTCTCCTTGACGGCGGGGGCCCGTCAGAAAAACCCGCAGCGCCCCCCAAAACTAGTAGGGCACGTTGGGCCTGGTCCCCGCGCGGCGGCTTCCCTTGGGCTCCGCGGGGCTGCGCCTCAGGCAATGAAGCGGGGAAGGCTGCAGCTGCGTGGGGCTTCCCGCTTCGGCCTACAGGCCGTGGTTGCACCTCGAAGGCTGTTTTGCAAGGAAGGGGTGGCTTCACACTACGCGCTGAACTGTAAACCTGGGTTAACTGTAAACCTGGGTTAACAAAACCTGGGTTAAATATATACCTGGGCTAACAAAACCTGGGCGAACTGTTTATTTTTTGATTTGATTTGATTTGATTTATCTAGCCTCCCCTCTCACTTTTACATGACTCTAGGCGGCTTACAATAAAATACAGGTAGGTCTTGATTAGTGCAGTTAATGAATCCCACGAAATGGCGGTATTATTGAAAGTTGCACACTTTGAAGTTACAGTATATTTCTATGGAAAATGGGGTAATTGGTTCCAGTATGACGGACATAGGCAATGAACATGGTTAAATGTTTATGTTTATGAATGAAATACTTACAACAGTAAAAGGGGATAAATTTGTATCCAAAGTGTACGCATTATCTCCTCTATTGTGCTGTAGTTCTTCACAATGAGCCTTTTCTTTTTTGAGCTGTCCTCGAAAGGAAACTTCCTTTTCTCCATTTAATGCACACCTTAATGTCTAAAACCCCAATGGCGACTGTGTGTGCGCTAGCCTCGTGCTAACTAAATTCTGGCTCCCATTAAACAGGATCTGGTATCAATTTATAAATCACATTAAATCGAATTTTGCAGTATTAGAACTCACACTAATTGTGACCTACCTGTAAATTAAATAATAAATAAAATACATAAAATAAAAATAAAACATAGCCGGGCATCATCCAACTAATCATCCACGCAGCCAGGAAGACGGGCTCTTTCCCACGCCCAGGGCCCCAGACTTGGGCAGAAAACCAAGTTTTCAAGACCTCTTGAAAGAGAAACAGGGACAGGGTCAATCTAATTTTGGGGGGATGATATTCCAAAAGACCATGGCAGAAAAGGCTCTCCTTCTGAGTCCTGTCAGCTGACATACCTTAGCCAACAGTACCCAGAGTTGCTGGGCTTGCACAATGTGGTTCACAAGGCTCAGGCCATGGCTGGGTTGCTGAAGCTTTGATTCCTCCATGGCTTTCTTACCTAGCGAAAAGGTTGTCTTAACCCAGCCAAGGAGTTCCCTGGTTTTAAAGGGGAGCTTCAACTCAGAAAACATTTTGAATAGGGCTGATCTGGTCTTCCCCTCCGGGAGTTCTTTAGAGGTGTTGGAGCATGAGAACCTATGGAAGTTGAGGTCCCACATTTGGTGAGTGCAAGGGTGGAGAGGGTTGTGTTCAGCTGCAGTCCTACGCAGGAACAAGTCCTAATGTCTTCAAGGAGGCCAAGCAGCTTTCCCCAGTTTGGTACTGATGGAATAAAGCTAACTTCTGAATACGTGGATGGATCACACCGTAATAGATTTCTTTTGTGGACTGGAATGGCCTTCCAGTCTGGCACTCCCCAAATGTGTTGGAATTCAGGATCCATCATCCACAGCCAGCATAGCCAGTGATGATCTGAGGGATGATGGGAGCTGTCATTTCACACATTTAGTAGTTTCCAAATTGGCAAAAGCTAGAAGCAAGTCAGCTTCTCAGTGGGCAGATACTGCGTCAGAGAGGACATTGCTCAGGTTTGTCTTTTGCAGATTGTTGAGAGTCAGTTATACTTCAGGACTACTGTTTTCTCCTTTGCATTCCAGTGTGTGCTCATATGTTGTAATCATGATATAGTTCACTTGGGGATATTTTTGCTGTTTGAGTAAATGGGCTATAATTTCACATGATGGTTTTCAAAAGTAAAGCATTTTTTTTTCTTCTTTTCCCCACCTAGAAATTAAAATTGTGTTCAAGAAAAAACATGTCATCTCCTTTCTCCTCTCTCAACAAGATTCGCAGAATGCCACTTCAATTGCAGCCAACAGAGTAAGTGAGGGCTTATGGAGGAAACCATCTAGACCTGTGGTAGGAAAATATCCCATTGTTTGGCTTCCAACTATAACAACGGATGGACAATCCTGCCTCTTTTGAATGAAAGCGACCCTTCAGCTTTTTCCAGCAGTGCAAGGATTACATAGCAAAGGTTAAATGGTTCTTATGTTTTTAGTACAATTAGGTTGGGGCCTTTGATCTTTCAGTTTTATTATGCAGTAGTTTGAAACCACTAGCTCTGACTTTTGCTATTGCTTTCTTTATTTTTTCCTATTTTAATGTTATGTGTTCATACCAGAAATCCTAAGTTCTTGTTTGAAGTACACATATGGGCTAACTTCCTCAAAAAAAGAACTAAAACATTCCAAATAATAATTTATATTGCAACATTGCAAGCATGTGCTATATTTGAGACACCAGTGTGGTGAATGAATTTCCTCCTTATTTTTTTTTTAAATTGTTTCTCCCATTTGTTTCTGGATTTTAGGAAAAAGGCAGTACCGCTCCAGATAAATATCCAGAATGGTAAATTGACAAGGCTTCATACCTTTTATTCTAAATATTGGTTTAGATAACATTGTAAGCTCTTATAGCTCAATGATCCACAGGAATATTTTCAGATCCCAGTTATTCATAAAGATTGTGTTTAAATACCATATTGTTAATGTTATATATTTTTATAAAGATTTTAAAAATCTGCTAGAAATCAATTAAACTACAGAACGCTATGGAAAATAGCCTTTGGGACATATATAGGAAATAGGAAACTAAGAAGGGTCTACTTGATCTGGCCAAAGATGTGTCTATTCCAGCCATAAAGATAACAATTAGTAACAGAAAAACATGGTAGATGCAGTTAGTAAATGCAGTTTTAGTATGTTGTATAGCTGCCCTGGGAAAAATCTGCTTTGAATCAATCTTCCACTTTGTTACATCAGTCTACATGGGAAAATTATACAATTGATACCACATGGCAATGGATATTTCTCTCTAAACACTCAGAATAAAGATGGCAAAAGGAAATCCTAGGCTTGTTCTTGATAATAGGTTTATCCCTTTGGTTCACAGAAGATGAAGCTGCTATGATGGATGAAATTCTGGGGCCAGGAGCTCAAATTCCAGTACAAATTAATTTGCCTTCTTGCTCAAATGGAGCTACAGCACAATCAACTATACTTGGTATGAGGGAAAGGATTGGACATAGAGTTATGTTACTGGGTAATCCAGGCATTTACATTAGGCACACAGAGTCTTGGTCTGCAGTGAATAAGAGCCTAGTCATAATTCAGTATATAGTTTAAATAGTTGACCCAGACTTAATGTGTCCTTATGCTAAAAATACTTTGTGGTTCCCCATATATAACCACTACAGTATTTGGCCCAGAATTTGGATTTCTAATAACCTCATTTTTGGGTACAGAACAAAACCAATAAACAGCCCCTCTCCCCCTAAATCAAATTGCTTCTCCTCAAGGAAGTGGAGATACATACTTAGGTCCTGACTAGGATTCAAAGAATTGTACCTCAAGATTTTTTTAGGATTTTTCTTTTTCTCATGTAGCAGAACATAAACCAAATAGCACCCTATTTTTGAAGTAAGTATAGAGGAGAGAATAACTGTTCGTAGGTGAGAAATATTCAACTTGGTTCACCCAAAGCTTTAGGTGAATTTAAAGTCATTTTTTGAAACCTAATCAGTTTATATATGTTCTGCATGTTGGGGATTTGGGAATAACAGCTTGCATAATTCTTGTTTTCTCTATGTAGTCTTTAATGAATCCTTCTCTATGAATCTACACCCACCAACCTCACTTTTCCAGTTTTTATCTCTTTTGGCCACTAAACCATCCTTTGTAAAAAATACAACCCCCCCCCCCAAACCCTCCATACATTACACAGACAGTGGGCTTGTTCATAGTATGAGTGCCTCTCTTTCCTGATTCATCTGATGCTCCAGAAGCATCCCACCTTAAGGGAGAAAAGCCAATTTTTTAAAGACTTTTGGAATGTCATCAGGGTGGGAGGCCAACAGATCTCTAGGGAGATAGCATTCCAGAGGGTAGGTGCTATAAAAGAGAAGGCATGCTTCTGGGGTCCCAATGGATAACATTGCTTCATCGATGGGATCCAAAGGCACCAACTCTGCCTGATCTTACTGGATAGGCAGAAACCATGGGAGTCCCTCAGATAACCAGGCCCTGTGCCAGGAAGGTTATCAGAGATCACCTGGAAACTCACTGGCAACCAGTGCAGCTCACCAAGCAATGGTGTCACATGCTCATATTATGACATTCTGGACCAACTGTAGTTTCTGAGGATAAAATCCTGAATTTGATTTAAGTTCATTTAAATTTGATGAAAATTAAATTTAGTAATGTCATTACTCTCCAATCAGATACTGAAGAATTTTCCCTTGTGTCACATTTTGGAGGTCTCTTAGTGCCATATTGAAGGGTTTAGGGGGTCTGCATATAGCCCCAGGTCTCAGCTGAACTCCTTGACTTGGCAATTTTCCTGTTGGCTTCTTTTACTGCTATAGATAAAGAGCCAATGCAGACAACATAGCAAGTCTTCTCATTTTTGAGCAATACGAAGTGTCCTTGTGGAACCAATTGCTCGCATGAAGGTTTACATCCAAATTTTCCTCATGTTCTGTTGATTTCATGTCTTCAGGGAATGCTCCTACTGATATGGAGTTGATGACTTCCATGATACAGAAGATTGCTTCTTTGGAGCAGAAAGTCAAGAGCCAAGCACAAGCCATCCAACAGAAGGTGACAACACGAGCAGTGCAGGAATTGCCCTTGAACTGTTTGTAACAGTTCAAATTGGAAGCTGTTGAAATTTTGTTAAGGTTTTACTTACATTTTTGCTATTTTTAATTTCTTTCTACTATTTTTTTAGGCCATCTTGTTTTTTAGGCATCTTGTCTTTTAGGCAGCTTGTTAGGACCCTGTTGGATAGAACAGCACAATTAAATAGAATCATAATTACAATAAAATAGTATAAAACAAGTAATAAAATAAGATCAAAACAAAACATTGGAGAGCAGAGGACAATAAATGTAGAGAGTTGTATAAAAGATATGCAAGGAAATTTGAAAGTTATAAGAAAAAAAACCTGTGCTAAAAGGGCATTATAGTTGCTGTTACACAGGCATGTTTGGAGAAGATACTCAGACACATTTCCTTTGACAGGGCACTTAGAGAAGGTTGCAGTCTTAAAACTTGAATAGATACATGTGAAAAGAGGTACTCCTTCAGGTACTAAACTCATGGGAGCCTTTATCTTGAAAGGCTTTTGAGACTGAAACTGAGTTATGACCAGGAACATAAAGATGGAAAATACTGGCACAATATACGCATAATATATTCAGCTCCAATTCGCACATCTTCAGCTTTATTCTCTACTAGCTAAAATTTCTGGACAGTTTTCAGAGGCAACCCTATTTACAGTGCATTGTGGGAATACACTGCATGCACAGTTATTAGGCAAGTTGATTTTTGAGGATGAATTTCATTATTGAACA